TGGCTGCTTCTCAACACTGCAGGCATGAGACCGAAGAAACCCCAATCCTGCAGGGCTGAGTCGTCCCAGTCCCACAGGCCTCAGGCAGGGCTCAGGGACTCAAGGGAGCTACAGAGAAGAGCTAAGGCAAGCCACCCAGGCCTCCTGGGACAAAGGGTCCTCAAAGACACAGAGGAAAGGAAGGAGCCTCAGCCAGAGACGCCTCCTGCAAGCCGGGGGACTATAAAACGCTTTCAAACATTTTCTCTCTGCAACCTTTGCCTCCAAACCGCACACACAAGTTCACACTGGATCAGATAAGGGAGGCGGTGACACCGGAGAGAAACTGGGGACAAGGGTATGAAAGAAATCTGAGGAAGGGAACCTTCAGAGGAGGGCAAGCGTCACAGGCGCGTAGAGCCGCCACTGGGATCTGTGCATCAAGGGACTTCCCATGTCCTCCCAGGCCTGTGGCTGGCAGTCCCAGTGTAGTGAAAAATATTAATTAATCCCGGTGAAGGGCTTCTTCCCTGCCTTAGACCATTCATGTTCTCAGATGGAAGACACGCGCAGCCTTGATATTTTTAGATGTGTCTTAGGCAGCTGCCCACCCTCCATGTTGTTAGCGTTTACTTTCCAATTGACAACTCCAAGTTACCACATATTATTAACTATGTACCGTCTGCGCTTGTCTCAACTCCAACCAGGCCGCACTCTGGGCCATTCTCTCGGCCCCTAGCCCATGACGGCTCTCCTCATCCCTCCTGTACATTCTTCTTCATCCATGGTGGCTCCTTCTCCCTCCTCCCTCTTTGTCCTGTTCTCTCTCCTGCAAGCCCTCAAACCCCCAACCCCGCCTATGTCTCTTCTGCCCAACTATTGGCTGTCGGCATCTTTATTCACCAATCAGGATTAACTTGGGGGCAAGGTCCCAGGGGCTACCTGCAGTCTCCAGGTCTTGCGGCCCCCACACTTAGCATTACATTAGATGGTAAAAGACAAAACCTCAGCACCCCCAGACGCTGTCACCCCATCCCTACAGTAAGAGCAAACACCCCCATTTTACAGATGAGAAACCCAAGACTCAAGAGAAGTCAAGTCTCTTTCCCCAGACCGCAGATGTCAAGGGCACGTGAGTCAGAACTCACGCCACCCTGGTCAACAGCCACCGCCTGGACCTCGCCCACAAGGACCTTCCAAGCAAGGAGAGAACTCAGCCTGTTCACAGACAGCACAGAAATCAGCAAAGTCACCACAGGAGCCTGGGTCCAGCCTCTCATGGATACCCACTCCTGGTGCCAGAGGCTTCCCAAGAAACATGGTGTACCATGGGTTCCCCCAAGTGGGGAGCTGGCTTTGGATAACCTAGTGTCCCTCACGGGCGCATGGTTGTCTCCCATCCCTCAAACCAGCACTGAGGACACAGGAGTCACTGCCCCGATTTCTAGCTGAGAAAAACCAAAGGGCACAGACATAAACTCTCAAAAATCTCAAGGCTGCTGAAAAGACATCCTGGTGTGAGCCCCCCCAAGACGCACCACCCTCCATCAGCCAGCGGGTTGCAGCGCCACCTAGTGGCAGGAACCCAACAGCGGAGGTTAACCCAGCATTGCAGAGCCCTGAACCCTCCACGCTTAGCCACAGAATCATCCGACGCAGCAAGTGTCACTCACCACGAGGGGACTGTTCTTCTTGTCCTTGCAAAAGCTGTGACTTCGCCGAGGGACGGAGGCAACGGGCGACACCTGCCGCTGCGGCTGTTGGCCGTCCTGCCGGCCGTCCCTCCGCTCCAGGTTCTGCAGAGGCGCCTGGGATTGGACAACACAGAGAAGAGTTTCAGTGAGAGCCTCTCTCATCTGCCGGCTCCCACCGTCGTGCATAGGTAACACGTGACTCAACTGCACGGCTGTGTGACTTCAAGACGATCCTTGACCTCCCTGACCTCAACCATCGATGGAAGGGACAATTTTAACAGCGTCAAGGGCCATGCTCAGAACCTGCGTGACATAGTCCAGTCACTAGGGGGCAGGTGTGCCTGGCTGATGTGTTTGGCTCACAGGGCCTCCCGTTGGCCAGCCCCATCCTTTCCCAGGATGGGCCTACGGTCCTAGTTTGAACATCTTTCCTTTAAAAAAAAAATTACTTTATTTTTATTTCTATGAGCACACTGTCGCTGTCTTCAGACACACAGCAGAAGAGGGCATCAGATCCCATTACAGATGGCTGTGAGCCACCATGTGGTTGCTGGGAATTGAACTCAGGACCTCTGGACGAGCAGTCAGTGCTCCTAACCACTGAGCCATCTCTCCAGTCCCCCCTCCTCCCAACGTCTTTCCTTGAATCCAAACACACACCCTGAGAAACAGCAGGGAGAGAATAAAGCCCGAAGGCAGAAGGCACGCAGTCTGAATTCTGCATTTTTTTTTCTCCCTCTCTGCTTAACTGGAGAACAAATATCACAGTCAACCGTGGAGTTCAGAACCTGGTTTACAGTGTACACACTCAATGCAGATAAGCCAGGAGGGCCAGAGAGGGCAGGTGCCTGGTGAATAGCCCACAGCATCATGGAGAACAAGGCCGATCGCTAGACTCCTTCCTCCCTTCCTGCGCTTGACTCTTTAGGCTACCCTCTTGCTTGCTCAGTCTCTCCCTGGCTCACTTTTCTTGAACATCCTAAGGCTGCTCTGAGCCTTCCCTTCTGCCACCATGCCCCGCCCACTGGGCTCATTTTCATACCCCTGTGACATTAAATAAATCCCACCCACACTTCCGCTCAGCCTGTCCACGATGGGACCCAGTTGTGCGCACATTGTTCCAATGTTCCAAGCCCTGAAGCTGGACCCTTTCCCCACCCACGGCACAGCCTGGGACTCTGGCTCCCGCCTGCCCACCCGACCTCACAGGCTGCCCCCTGTTGCACCTCCTGCAATGATTTAACGCAAATCCAGGACTTCGGTGTTAGGCGTGCAGGATGGACAGACAGACGGACAGACAGAGGTCAGGGCCTACAGCCAGGGGTTCGGGAGCTCCGCCCCTGACTTGCCCAGCCTGGTAGGACAAATTTTACTGGAATGAACATGCACCAGAGTTTAGTCTCTTGGGTATGGTGGTCACGACTGTGTCAACACTCGGGCCCCCTGAGGCAGGAGGATTTCTGGAAGTTAATCTAGACTACGGCAAGGAAACGGCTCGACAGGAAACGGAACAGGATCCAAACAGTAATTACTCCAAAGAATCATGCCAACAACCAGGTGAGCAACAGAAAGACAATTAGCCCTTTAACCACGACGGGACTAAACATCAGAACCGGGCCATACAATACACGCAGCCAGCCTGGGCCACGTGAGACTCTGTCTCCATACAAAGACAACAGGAATAATGAACGCTGTGGCAAGCTACACAGTGTGAGCCCTGAGAACGCCAGGCTGAGGAGGGCAGGAGCAGAGAGCCCCACAGCATGGGCGGAAGAGCATAGTTTATGAGGAGCAGGACTTCGACATAGACTGTGTAGGTTGAACGATAGCTGCATCTCACAGCAGAAAAGATGGCAGACAGGGCACACCCTCCACCAAGGACAAGCTCACCTGTGCTGAGGGATCTCCACTGTAGCTCCCACACCCTAGGTCCTGGCTGGCCTAGGTCTCTCCTGTCACTCAGATAGCTCCTTTCCAGTCTGTCCCTCAGACTCTGGGTGACCTCTCCCACTCGCTGGCTTCAGGATACTTGTACCTACGCAGCCACCACAATGTTCTGTGGGACCGATCCAGTCACACCAGCTTGGGCGTGGCCAAGGCAACAGAGAAATTAGATTTGAATCTAACTTAAAATAATATACAAATAGCAGGTGCCACGCCGCCTGGGTTCTTCTTCTCCTCCTCCTCCTCCATCCTCCTGCCTCAGATACAATGCTCACCACACCCATCTAGAGTATTCCTTTTTTATAATCGAGTAATATTCCACTGTGGGGCTATACCCACATTTTATTTTCCCAGGGATTCTTCTGGATGGGCTTCACCCAGCCCAAGCTGGAACTTTGGAAGATGACCTGGAACTCCTGATGTAAGCATGGGCCCCCAGCCTGGCCAGCACATGGATCAAACATGCTCCATGAACAGAGAGCAGAACATGAACACTGGGCAGAATGCTGGACTCTAAAAAGCATCGTATGATTTAAGTGTGTATTTTTCTTAGTACTGTTTGTGTGTGTATATGGGGGGGATGTGTGTGTGTGTGTGTAGGATGGGTCTGTGTGTGATCTGTGTGTGTCTCTGTGTCTCTGTGTGTCTGTCTCTGTGTGTGTCTGTCTGTATCTGTATGTCTGTCTGTGTGTCTGACTATGTCTCTGTGTGTCTGTGTGTCTGTCTGTGGAGGGGGGTTTGTGCCATAGGTCATTTCACCTTCTCCCTTTAGAAGGTGGCAAGACTCCAACCCGAGTCACCAGGCTTGTGAGAAAGCATATTTACCTACCAAATCACTCAACTGGCTCCTCGGTTTTATTTTCAAGCTGGGGGAGGGGGAAGGGAAGGGGTGTGTGTGGAGGTCAGAGCGGGCTGGGTACAGACAGTTCCCGCCCTCCATCAAGGGGGACTGAATTTGGGTCCTCACACTCACCCACACTGTATGATTTTATCAGCAGGTGGACACTGTGTCAGCAGAGATCTCAACCCAGGGAGCCCACCCCCCAGGGAGGGGGAGCCTCTAAAGTTACCTGTCAAGGCTAACCCCAAAGATTTCAGCCTAACTTAGAGGGGTGGGGACCCCTGATCATCATGCTGGATTCTCTGCTTTGTACCCAGCTGCCACCAAGAGCCAAAATGCTCTCCCTCACAGGAAGGGACACAGAAACCACGCTAAGCCTCACGATCCCTGTGGCTTCTGAAAGCAATCCCAAAAGAGTCGGGGCCACAAAAGATGCTCTGAGCATCCTTTCTTAACCCTCAAGCTCAGGCCTGTGGTAAAATATCTTCACCCCACAGAGTGTAAGAGTTCTCCAGAACGCTGTTTCGGACTATAGTCCCTGTGTCTCCCGGCTCTTGCAGAGTGGAACGTAGCCCAGCTTTCTCTGCTCCCTGGAGGATTCTAAAATGGCAGCTCTGACTTCTACACACCCTCCCCGAAGTGACAGCAAAAACATCCCCAGAGGACTGCGGATGTAGGCTCAGTTGTCTAGCAGACACGGCCAAAGGTGTTCTAGGGGCTATAGGCTCACAGGCCTGGAGAGGCCTCCCCTTTGATTATGTGGCTAGAACCCAGGGCCTCAAGTCTGTGCCAGGCAATTGTTGTTGCACTGCTGAGCCACACTCCCAGGCCTCCTCTGACTTTTCATTTGAAACAGGGTCTCACTGAATAACCAAGGCTGCTCTTGAACTTGTGATTCTCCTGCCTCAGCCTCCTGGGCAGCTAGGGTGATAAGTCTAAACCACAAGGCCTGGAAGTCAATCGCTCTGTGGGGAATTCACATCCTACACCCCACAGACCCTTGACCAATGAAATTTGCCTATGCATCCAGAATGGAAATATTCCCACCCATGTGTGTGTGTGTGCACATGCATGCGTGTGCACACGCTCGTGCATGCTTGGGTATTTATGTGTAGACATGCAAATGCATCTGTGTGTGCATGCGTGTGCATTCACATGCATATGTGCATACACTTGTGTGGCTGAGTGTGTGTGTGTGTGTTATGTAGTGTGTTTCATATGTGTGTGTATACACCCAGGGAATATTCCTAGCTCCTGAGACACATAGGAAAGTCCCGAGGGCTGGAACATTCTTACCAGCTGCCCCAGAGCAAACACTCCTGTCTCTCTCTGCCCTGTAAGGTTTGGGGTTTGTTTTTTTTTTGTTTTGTTTTTTGTTTTTTTTTCGAGACAGGGTTTCTCTGTGTAGCCCTGGCTGTCCTGGAACTCACTCTGTAGACCAGGCTGGCCTTGAACTCAGAAATCCGCCTGCCTCTGCCTCCCAAGTGCTGGGATTAGAAGGCGTGTGCCACCACTGCCCAGCAAGGTTTGTATTTTTAACAACCAGTGTTCTGAACACCTCTGTGGCTTTTTATCTTCACTTGTTTGCTTGTTTTTGTTCTTTACGATAAGGAACCAGAGCGAGGAAAGGAAGCCCAAATAATAGGATGAGGGTCAGGATGAGAAGGGCAGCCTGTGCTACAGGAGACCCTGACTCAACACCAAAACAAAACAAGCCTTCGAGGAGGAGAGAGGCCAGAAGCAGGAAGCTGGTGTTTGGATCTCTCTGCCATGAGGAAGCTCGTCTGTGGATCCTTCTGCCATGAGGAAGCTGATCCCTGGACAACCAGCTCTCCTGGGGCCTGGGCACGCTGGGCAGCATCCAGGCCCCTCCACAGCCCAGGTGTTCCTGTTGCCAGTGGGACCTGAGGTGCTGGCGAGCTTCGGAGTGTCACATTCCAGCGGAACACCCATCTCCTCTTCTCGGGCTGCTCCCACAGCAACGGGGGAGGAGGGTGAGACCACCAGGGGCAAACCTTGCCCAAAGTTGCAGCAGCTTTGGGTTCCCAACAGCCCGGGCTTCGAGGCAGGGAGCTGCTGTCTCTCCTAAGCGGTGTGGGAAGAACCCGCACCAGAGGAGGGAGGAGCTCAATGCAAGTCTGGAAGGTTCCGCTGGCGGCGCTGAGCAAGCCTGAGCTCCCGAGAGACACAGGTTCGAAGCCCCAGCCCCCTACACTTTACACCATACCTCGAGCACAATCCTCAGGTTGAGACCAAAGCTGACACTGTCCTCAGCTCCCTCTGTGTGACGCCCCTGTCCCTGCCAAGCTAAACCCGGTTCCTCTCCCACAGGCTTGGGGATGAGAAACTGTTTGCTGTAATCCTTGGCTGTGCTCGACTCTGTAAACACCATGTCCTGAAACCCCAGGACAGTGCTGAAGGGGAGACCAGGAACAAACCAGTCATGGCTGAGGATCCCCAGCAGCCAGAACTGTGGAAAATAAGTCTCTCTTCTTTATAAAGTGTCCAGCCTGGGGTGTTTTGTTACAGCTGCTGCCTGCTGCTGAACCGCTCAGCAAGGGGCTAGGTGTGGTTTACTCCAGCCTCCAGACTTCCCAGCATGCCCCGCTCCCTGGCTCACCCATCAGTGCCTCTTCCAGGATGACTTCCTGGGTCACTCCTCCAGCACCTCATTGAGCATCATGTCATCTCCTGACCTTGGGTTCCAGGGCCCTATCACCCAGCCGAGGTAAAAAATTCCCCAAGGGCTGCACGCGGCTTCCTGTTTCCTTCCCACTTTTACCACAGTAGCCATCATCTCATGGGATCCAGCCAGACATCTTGACCTTTTGCTGTGTGACCTGTAACAGGTTCTTTAGTCTCTCTGTGTAGCAGGATGGTTTCTTGCTGCTGCTACATTGTTTGCAATAAGCACGGTGATTGGGGAGGAGCTAATGTGGGAGGAGCGAATATGGGAGGAGCTAATGTGGGAGGAGCGAAGAGAGAGAAGGGGAAGGAAGAGGAGGAGCTAGGGGAGAGAGAGGAGAGATGTAGGAGCCATGGGTCCAGAACAATCCTGAATAACGATTTATACCTTAAGGTTAGATATTGGGAAGCAACTCTAATTGTGTGGGCATCTTGTTAATTGAACATTTATAAATATATAAAGTCATTGGATAATCTTTAAGCATGAGTCTTCATTCTATCGGGAGCCGTGGGCATGGTGGGTACTGTCTGGGGTTCAGTCGAGCATTGTGGACAGCGTGGTGGATTGACAGATTTAGCCACCACGCTGGCATCTCGTGGGTGCCAGGGGCACTGCTTCTAGCCAGCTGAGCAGCGGCAGGAGCACAGTGCCGCTCTTGGCCTCAGGCCTTGTCTAGTCGGGAATGTGGAGGCTCCTTGAATATTTGTAAGGAGTCGTTTTAAATATTACCTCAACATCTCTGAGCCCTGTTTTTGTTTTTGTCTCATTTTACACCTGAAGCAGACGTCGTCGGCTCCCTGCCTGATTCTTGGGATACTCCGATATGTGAGTTGGTGCAGAGCTGTCCTACTATGTGCAGAGCTGCCCTACTATGTGCAGGAATGATCAAGTCCCACATTCAAAGGCCCAGACACAGCCTTGGACAACAATGGGAGGAAGTGGAAAACACACACTCCTGGCCCTCCAACCCTTGACTAGGTCAACACAGTTGTGCTACGGGCTTCCCAAAGGTTTCCCAGGCACTGGGTCTCAGTTGCCCACACTGGTAATTCCTTGCCACCTTCTCCAGTCCTCAGCGGGTCCTCCTTCAGGTCCACCTCCTAAGAGACTTAAGACAGGCTGCTTCTGGGGAGCCCAAGCCAGAGTGAGCTATCTTGTCAGACCCCGTGGGCTGCTTAACATGCACTCACGGCACAGGTCTTTCTGAAAGCTCACACAGTTGGCACTGGCCCTGGTGAGGACAACAGGCAAGGTGGCATCAAACAGATACTCCTTGATGCTCACACAAAATGTCATCCCTCATCTAAGTCCCAGGTCAAGTTTTGAACCCGCAACCCATGGTCAAACAGACAGAGCCAGGGGATTAGCACAGCCAGGACAGAATGAAGTTTTCTACCAAGCCACCTTGTTTCAGGATAACACCTGAAAATGTGGATTTCTCTTAATAAATGTCGCTTTCTGTCACAGGTTACAAAATGGCCAAGGGGCTGAGGCCGGGGTGGGGCGGGACCGGATTGAAGCCAGGGGTGGGGCAGGGGGCGGGGCAAGTACTAGCTTTAGTTTCCTATGCCACGCCCAGTGGAAGGGAATGGAAGGGTAGGATATAAAGAAAGGGATGGCTTGGCAGTTAAGAGGTCAGCCTGCTCTTCCAGAGGTCCTAAGTTCAATCCCCAGCAACCACATGGTGGCTCACAACCCGTAATGGGATCAATCAATCAATCTGTAATGGGATCTGATGCCCTCTTCTGGTGTGTCTGAAAACAGCTACCCGTGTACTCATATACATAAAATAAATCTTTAAAAAAAAATAATGGGAGAAAAAAAGTTCTAAGAGTCTAGAAGCAAGCATACCTATGTGTGCTGTTATCCTGCAGTCCACACCACTCCCTAGAGTGGTACCTCCAATCAGTCACACACCTACAAAGCCCTCATGAAATCTGAGCTTGAGAGCCTGGACATAGATGCCTAAAAACTATGTGATAAAATTCCAAGTACCTCTGTACCCACCTTAGGGCCTTCCGGCGTCCTCACATCCCTCTGACAGGGTCCCACGGCAGCCTTGGGAGTCTCGGCAGGGAGGTCCGGCTTCCCTCTGGACTGTTCTCGCCTCCGCTGCCTGGCGTCCTGCATGATGGACAGGCCCTCCTGGATCCTGGCTGGCGGACCCTTCTCTGAGCAGGTCCTCTTGATGTCCAGTGGTGACCAGATATGATCGCGTGGTGGGGTTCCCCACTGTACCCCATTGCCTTCCACTCCCTGACCAGTGGATCTCCTTGGAGTCCCTTTCTTCCGGTCAGAGGGAGGTGACCTTGGGGAGACTGGGTCCCCGCTGCCTGGCTCCTGGGACTTGGCTGAACTTTGCCTATGCTTTGTGCCCTGGTGCTCACTGGAAGAAGGCTTGCTTTCAAACTCAGAGATGCCTAGAGACTTTCTCCTGGATCCAGCAGGGACGGGAGAAGGTGAGGGACAGTTTTCCCCAGAAGCTGAGTGTGGTGGTGCCCACAGCGGCCTGCTAGTCTTGGTGGCCATGGCTGTCCCTAGGGGCTCTGCTGGCTGCTTGCTGGGGCCGGGGGAGTGGAGAGCTTTCACAGAGGGCCCTGCTTGTTGTCCGACACTGTCTGACTGGGGAGTCTCCTTCAGGCTCCTCCGTCTCCACTCCACCTCCTTGGGCCAACCTGATCTCTCCCGAGGAGAGCCGCTGGGTTCTGTAGGGCCGTCCCGCTGCTCCTGGGTCTTGCTGGGAATTCTATTCGACTGCTCCTTGTAATCAGCCATCAGAGCATCAAGGTCAAGGACACCAGATCTGTAGCCATCTCTCATCTTCCCTGGGAATGTTTCGCTGATCACCTCTGTCCTCCTCCTCACCAGGAGGCTTTTGGGCCGCTGCCTCAGGACCGGGGATGTCGGCGGGGCATCTCTGCCTGAGGATGTCCCGGTCCTGCGGACCTTCACAGCCCCATCATTTGACCCTTGATGAAACCACAGGGAATCCACATCGATGACTCTGTCCCTGGAAAGATACAGAGTCTTGTCCCCCGCAGACGTCGGCTGGTCTGCGGACTTCATGTGATTTGAGAGGTTCCGTATTTCTCCATACTCTCTCTCCTTAGCGCAGCCCTGACTGCTGGTGGGAGACCCTGGGTCTAGATGGCCAGGGGAAACCAAATCAGATGAAACAAAGCGAGGTGACAGAGGTGGAGGCGTTTTTCTGGAAGGTTCCAACCCGTTTTCAGGCTCTGACTTAACCACACTCTTGGCCTTCTGAATATCGGGAACCTGATAAGTCACTGCAAAGAAAGTTGCGGCAGGCTCTGCAGATGGCCCCGGCTTCTCCTCCGGGAAAGTCCTGCCTTGTGAGGCACCCGGTGTCACCTCCTGAGTTTGTGCCTGCTGGTGGGACAATGGAGGTCTCTTTAAGGCACAGGTTGGGGAGGTCAGACCGTCTGCTGGTCTCTGCTGCCTTTTGGAAGTGCTCTCTGGCACGAGGAGGTTGAACGAATCAAACTTCACATCGTGGGGCAACGTACGACGCCTCAATCTGTCCACCCTCGGCTCCGAAGGGTTAGACCTCCGCATTCTGACTTCCGGCTGGGACACCTGGGCCAGCCTTGGGTTATCCTCATTGGTAACCATGAGGGGATCTTTCTTCAGGGACAATGAGTCCGGCCCTGCCTGTACTTGGGAGTCACAGGGCTCAATGTTGGCCCTTGATGGAGGCGCTAAAGTGTAACTCAAGACTGGACCCCTTTGGAAAATACTGAGATCTTTAAGGACCACAGGGCTGCTGTGCCAGCTTGCCCCCACCCCTCCCGTCCATTTGGGAGATTGGCAAGTGCCCCCAAATCCATCCCTTGGCTGTTGACAGTCAGGCTTTGGTCCACCACCTTCCTTACCCCGAGCTTCCCATATCAGACTCGCCCTCTGGACGGCACCCCCATTCGCCTGCTTAGAACACTCCAGGTAAGTAGGGCTGACCTCCTGGGACAGCTGCCGGCCCGACAGCGAGAGCCGGGATCGGCCGCTGCGCAGGGTCACCGCCTTCTCCTCGGGCACCCTGGATACCGCTTCACTGTGTGCACGCTCCCCGGAGGCGTGCACAACGTCATACCGGGGCTGGACCCTCTGGGACACAGGGGGACTTTCTAGATCCCGCGGGACAGAGCGGCTATGCCTCTCTTCCACGGGGTGAGTCTCAGGGATGGGTCTGGGTTCCACATCCACAAGGGTAGCTCGTCCCAGCATCCCCGGGTCAGCATGGTCCGACCACCTGGAGCAGTCTCTCTTGTCCGATACTCCTGGTGGCTCTTTCCCCGCCCAATTCTCAGGCCTGGGTTTGGGAGGCGTGTCGGCCACACAAGGGGGTGTGGTCGAGAGACAACGGCCTGCCTGGTCAGCCACTGTGTGTCTCTCCACGTGATGCTCAAACACTGTGGCCCACACCTTCTGGAAGCTTCCATCATCTTCCGGACTGACTTCAGAACGGCCCGTGTCTCCCGCTGAGCGTGTATTCCAACACCTGTCAGGGTCCTGGTCAGAGGCATCTTTGAGCTCTGTCTGCTTAGACTTCTGGAGAACCCCAGACTTCCAGGGACTTTTTGTGGCGGGGTTTCCTTCCAAACTATGCCTTTCCTTAAGCTGAAAAATAACACAAGATAACATTAATGGTTTGAAGCTCACGGGATCTGGAGAGGCAGATAAAGCGGCCGCGCCCCCCGCCCGGCCGGCCCCCGGCCGGGCCGCCCGACGCCCACCCCCCCGCCCCCGTCAGAACCGCAAGAAGCCTCCCAGACGGCCCGGCTCAGCCTGGTGACCCGAGTTCCATCCCCAGAAGCAAGGCTGAGAGAGTGGACTCTACAGAGTGGCCCTCTGACCACATGCTGTGGCACAGGTATCCCTCTCTGCACAGTAATAAAAACAAGTTAAAGCCGGGCAGTGGTGGCGCACGCCTTTAATCCCAGCACTTGGGAGGCAGAGGCAGGCGAATTTCTGAGTTCGAGAGTTCGAGGCCAGCCTGGTCTACAGAGTGAGTTCCAGGACAGCCAGGGCTATACAGAAAAACCTTGTCTCGGAAAACAACAACAACAACAAAAAGTTAAACCTTGATTTAAAGAACAAAAACACCAAGACACTATAAAACGTTCTGCACGGTGTAGTAAAAAATATTAAAAATCCTTCCATTTGTGTTCCCGGATGAAAGACACGCATAGCCTTTATATTTTTAAATAGTCTTAAGCAGCACAGTCGCTGGGCAGCTGCCTACACTCCATGTTGTTAGAATCTACTTTCCTGTAGATAACCCCAAGTTATCACTTACTGTGTGCTATGTTGTATCTGGGATGCTCTTAACTCCAACTGGCCAGCCCTCTGAGCCCCATTCTCTCAGGCCGTAGCCCATGGCAGCTCTCCTCCCCCCTCCTGCATGTTCTTCATCTACGGCGGCTCCTTCCTTCCTCCCCTCCTCACGGTCCTCTCTCCCCCGAAGCCTTCAAAACCTCATCCCCACCTACAGCTATCGGCTGCCGGCATCTTTATTCACCAATCAGAATTAACTGGGGGCAGGGTCCCAGAGGCTATGTGCAGATGCCAGGTCTTGGGGGCCACACTTGACATTACAATAGATGGTAGAAGACAAAACCTCAACAGTATGGACACATGATGTGTGAGCACATGTGCACATGGCGATTAAGGGTCAATGCTGGTTAATGCTGTTTGTCCGACTGTTCTCCATTTTATTTAACAGGGTCTCTCACTGAACCTAGAGCTTGCCCATCCCACTAGACTGCCCGGCCAACCAATGACTCCCAGGGATCCCCGTCTCCACAGCCTCAGCTCTAGGATTATGGGGTGCCCCTGCGCTCTACTTTCTGATGGGCATGGGATTCGAACTCGGGCCCCTAGGCTTGCACGGCAAACACCACGCCCACTGAGCCTTCTCCCAGCTCCCACTTTAAAATATCAAAGGCAGACCAAGCAGACACCACTGAGAACAATGAAGAGGCACCTCAGACAATACTGTAGGCTTTTGAGTGATGGGGGGGCAAGATTTCTCTGAGAATCCCAGGCTAGACCATCATGCTTTATTGTATCCCAGGCTAGACCATCATGCTTCCCAACTTGTTATTGTATCCTAATCTTTAAAAAAAATCACCAGACAATCTCTTGTATAGAGAGGGTCCCTGGTTATATGGAAAGGGGGGGCTTATTAACATCTTTCTTGAAAGTTTTTAATAGTCAAAATTTACAGAAATGCCCCTCGAGCTCTGAGATTTAGGACACCTCATCCCACACTACTCTCCCAGGCTAGCTCCTTTCCTTGGGGACTCAGTGAAAGGGACACAGAGAGCCCTGGAAGAAGTCTCAGTTTATTATTCAGAGATGGAGGACGTCCCTTCCAACACCCAGCCTCAGCCAAGCCGCTCCTAGGCATTTACTCAAGGGAAAACCAGCAAACTGGGCTGGGGATGCAGAACGGTTGGTAGAATCCTTGCCAAGATCCACAAAGCTCCATGCCCAGCGCTTGCCCTTCAGGGCCAAGGCAAAGAGATAGAAGCTCAAAGTCTGGGCTATACAGTCAGTTTGAGGCTAGCCTGAGGCACATGAGAACACATCTCAGAGGGGTGTGGGGAGAAGAAGAGGGAAAAGGTGTACAGACTTATTCATAAATGTTCACAGTTTGTTCTGGGGGGCACGTATGCATGTGTGTGTGCGCGTGTCCATGCATGTGCATGTGTCTCTGTGTTTCTGTGTCTGTCTGTTTCTGTCATGTGTCTGTGGGTCTGTGTCCGTCTGTGGGTCTGTGTCTGTCTGTGGGGTCTCTGGGTCTCTGTCCATCTGTGGGTCTCTGTCTGTCTGTGGGTCTCTGTCCGTCTGTGGGTCTCTGTCCGTCTATGGGTCTCTGTCTGTGGGTCTCTGTCTGTCTGTGGATCTCTGTCCGTCTGTGGGTCTCTGTCCGTCTGTGGGGTCTGTGGGTCTCTGTCCATCTGTGGGTCTCTGTCTGTCTGTGGGTCTCTGTCCGTCTGTGGGTCTCTGTCCGTCTGTGGGTCTCTGTCCGTCT